GCCCGGAAGAAATAATCAAAACCAATGGACCCTATACTACTGTAGCGGTAAATAAATCAATAAAATAAATAACTCCGTAAGTTTTCGACATTGGATGCTGACCACATCAGTTTTAATGGACTAACGTAGCTAAAGGCGCTCGGTCATGCATCCGCACCAGATCACGAGTGGGAACGCCATGCTCAACAACCCTTGCAATCGCTACCCAGGTTAGATCAAATATATCTTTGAACCTCCTCTTTTGATTTCACTTGGTAAGTACGCTTCATATTAGGTGTCACTGGTTGAAGCGTTGTCAAACTCCGATTATCTGTGGCATCTTCACTACAAGTAGATCGAACATCCGAAAAGAATAGCGAAAAGGCTTCGTAACTAAATCCGTGATTGAAAGTCACGGGGTTAACACCTTATTAACAACCCGAGCAATAACAATTGAAGCCATATGACATATTCGGACACAATGAGATTCTGAGAGGGTTGCTTAAACAGCCAGAGAAATGAAAGGTTACAATCTTGCACTTCTCAGAATTATAATCTTTATAATCTCGGAAGCACCTGGGGAAAATCCGATGGCACATACTTCAAGATGGTAACTGTAGCAACTCTGCAGGTTTTATCCCTCTAAATTAGAATTATTTTAAAAGCATAGACTTCGAATCTTCTGGAAAGTTGTTTCGAGCTTCAGACGTTATTTAATTGTAGGAACGATGTTCTTGCTTCACCAGTTTGTGCTTTGGATTTGCATTACTTCTTCCATGTTTATCAGTATTGCTAAATAGGCACGTAAAGGCTTCCACCGTTTCGAGAGCTTAACCGTGGAGTGTGATTTTGTTCATACTCACTCATTCGTGTTTGAGGGTTTCAGTTATTCTTCCATAAACGCGGAGGTCTGTTGCCGCGAAAGCTGCCGTTGTACCGTGTATTTTCACCTGCATTTTATACTGTATATGAGCAGCTGTGCTGTCATGAGAAAAGTCCAAACTATCCAACTGTCCATGGCGTTTACTTCAACCCGTACGTCCCCCAAAATGTAGAGGTCTTAACCATACAGTCGACAGCAAAAGAAGCGGAATGATAGCATGCAGCATTAGTTGATACCGGTCCCCAACTGAAATCCATCTGTGAGCTGCTCACCATTCATATCTTTGCGGAGCAGTCACTCCAACAAATTCTACATCAAAATGATTTCAGGTATCTCATGATATCAAATATCCCAAAATCATTTAAATATTCACTTTGTCAAAAGGTGTTGAGTTGCAAGCGATCGAATTTTTAAGTGGTTTTCATTGTAGAAATTATTTGGGTACATGATCAATTTTTACGAAAGTTAGATCGTCTGTCTCTAAGATTGGCATCTATCGAATCTTTAATTCTGTTTGATAATAGTCGGTCGATTACTGACAGTGGTGTTGTAAGTTTTTATAAGTATTTATAAACAGTTGTCTACGCAAGATACTCAACATCCATTGACCGGATACCATCAGCAACAGCCTTCTGTGAGAGAGAACAAACCAGCTTCCAGATAAAGAGGAAATTAGGAAAAGACGATGGAAATGGATAGCACATAGATTGCGCAAGTTTTCAAACTGCATCATGAGGCAAGCCCTAACTTGGAATCCTGAAGAGAAGCGGAAAAGAGGAAGGTCAAAGAACTCATTACGTCGGGATATCGAAGCAGTTATAAAAAGGATGAATAACAACTGGATTGAGCTGAAAAGGATTGCCGTGGACAGGGTTGGATGCAGTGTGCTGGTGGGAGGCCTATGCTCCTTCACGAGGAGTAACAGGCGTAATTAAGTAAGTTTTTCAGTTTCAGATTTGGTTTGGCCGTCATCAAGTTATGATCTGTAGGTCTATAGGTTTCTCTTCTCGTTCTTACGTCTTCGAAGGAGCTTCTGAACTCTTTATTGATGTATGTTTGATAAATTTTGTTTTCTGTAGTGCTGTCAGTCAGATCCAAATTATTTCTGTGTATGGGCTTGTGGGGAAAGAAGTTAACAGTTCTACTCATTAAGATATTATAAGTGTATTATTTTTATTAGCACCGATACACTTAGTGCTCAGTTTATTTGAAGTTATCGAGTCTAACATTGGTAATGTCACCTTTGTTTGTTTGTCTTGAAATAAGCTGTGATGGTTGCGGAAACGATGTTTTCCCGTCTTCAGACCACTTTATTGCGTCATTGAGGGGGGGGGGAAGGGTCAGTGGAGTTTTTTGTGCATGTAGGGTATTTCACCCCTCTCACATTGTACTTGCGTTCCATGTACCTAAATTAATGGTTGCCCTGGTTGTCAAAAGAGGCATCAACATCGTGACTTCCGAACAAACTTGTCTTTCACCACGAGGCGTCATAACTCTTCTAAATAGAGACCTAAGTTTCGTGGTAGAGTTTAAATGGTTTGAATCATTTTTTCTGGTTGGCGTCTTTAAAGCGAGTTAATTTTCTACGGGGTAGGGTCTCTAACCCCATGACCAACCCTCCTCCTTTATCCGGGCTTGGGACCGGCATTAGATCCAGAGGGGCTTCAGGTGGAAGGATTTAGGAAGAAGCGCTAAAAGTGGATGGGCCATACATTGGAGAAAGCAATCATCTGCGCCACAAGACAAGCCGTCACATGGAATCCTCAAGGCCAAAGGAAAAGAGGAAGACCAAAGAACACATTACGCCAGAGATGGAGATAGACATGAGAAAATGAACAAGAATTGGATGGAACTAGGAAAGAAGGCCCGGGACAGAGTGGGTTGCAGAATGCTGGTCTGCGGCCCATGTTCTGTCGGGAGCAACAGGCGTAAGTAAGTAAGCGTATTTTTCTCCTGATGACCAGAATAAAATGGGTCTCGTGAAGTTTATGTTATCTGTCCAGAAAGTGTCCAGTGAGTTCCACTTGTTGTAAGACAAGTGGAATTGTATCTTATGGTTTCTTTGGGTATTCGAATGGTCTTCCCGGTCCTCTATAATGTCCGAACATTTCATGTACGTTCAGTAATTGTATCTGTAATAATTGTTTCGCCGGTTGTCAGAAGGAGAGTCGACCTCGTGACGTTTGAAGATTCTTTTCTCCCATTTACAGGTATCACATTAGCTGTACTTTAAATTCCCTCTGCTATGGAAGGTTTCAGCAATTTCACTTATTTTTCTTTGGCTGTCAATCTAGTTGCATTGTTTTTGTATTTTAGTTATGCTTGTCAACCCTAAGCTTAACAGGCTTCGTTTACACGATTTCAGGTTGGCGGTGCAAAATTTTATTGATATTTTTTACTTTTATCCTAAATCTACCGCGCTAATCTGGACTAGACTCTAAAAAGATTTCGGCCACTCATATCAGGTCTCGCTTTGTCTGGTATGCTTTCACCTTTAAAATTTCTAAGACCTCGGTAATGGCTTCAAAGGAATAACAGATAAAACTAGACGATTTTATGGTTATCCAGGTTTCAACGTTATTAGAGTTTTACGCACCAACAGGAGTCGTTAAGTACACTAGATTTACTTTCCTCTTGTCACATGACATCCATGTTTTTCTACCTAGCGCTATATCCATTAGTTTATTTAATACTAATGGATCTGCCAGCTACTTTCTACTTTTCCTCATTCATCTAGTTTTAGTCATACAATATTCACTCCAATTAAACAAATGACTACCACGTGACTTATTTGTTGCCTGTTTTAGTAAGGTTATTCAAATGGGTCAAATGGTTGTGGACGGAATGGAAGAAGCTTTCGCTTAACGGACTTCCAGAATCTACTAACGTTCAAACAATCGTCAAGATCATTAGGGTTATGACAAAAAATGGCTGAACCTCTATGAATGAGTCTAGAACAGCTCACTGACGTCGAACCTTGAACAGGAAAATACCACTTGAATCTTAACAATCCAATAAAAGATACTAATTTTAGAAATCAAAGTGCTACCAAGTCCCGTTTCGTGCTAGTGTTTTCGCATGTCCTTATATAGTAAACGATGAGGGAGATACTTCGCATAAGTCTAGAGGAACAACGAATAAGCTGCTTTTATCTAACACATCCGTTTGTTTGTACCGTGACCTTGGGGGATTGACGCGGGTCAGCCACTTATGACTCTCATATCAAATTGCTAGCTTCTAGCTTAGGTTCTGAGATTATCTTGATCTGAGACGTTTTATTTCTGGTTGCCGTCTACTGCTTTTTGTAGTAGATGTAAGTACGTTGTGTGTGGTTGCTGGGTATTCGACTCGCCTATTTTTTCGTTTACAGTACTCACGCTACTGTGCCTCCTCCCCTAGTACACAAAGTATCTTTTGGCTAGATGCATATCGCTACGTACTTGGAGAGCTTGCCAAGATGACAAGACTATGAAGTAATGTGGACTTAGACGTGGTTCTAATTAGGCTACCACGAGTATTGGGACAGTGCTTTGTCAAAAGGGCGAGCTTTAAATCTACAGTTGTAACGGGTTAAACTATCTGTTTCTAGTTTCGGTCCTCAGATTGTCGTAATATAAGGCTTGTGCTATTGCTGATTTTTGTCTTTTGTTCTTCGTAGTAAATGTAAGTACATTGCGTATGCTGAGTCGTTGACTCAACTTTTCCTTTTGTTCTCTTTTACAGTCCTCACACTGCCTGCTCTCCCCTAGTACACAAAGTACCTTTTGGTGAGACGCAAACCGCTCCAATTAGTAAAGCAACTGACTTTTCGTCCCGTTTTTCTTTGCTGGAAAGCTTATTGCATTTACCAACTTGATTTCCAGAGTTTTCTGTCTACGCATTTAAACTGTTAGGTCTTGACGTAAGTGTGTCCTATCTGCTCTCTACTCACTTTCTGTTTTTATAGATCATCTTGCTGAATTAACCCTTGCTTCTTTAAACCTACATACACAGTGCTTAGCTGTTTCTAATCACAAAGTATTCACAGGTTAAGCGTAAATATTCTAGCATTTAAGGGTCACAGTACAATTCTCATATTTTGTGTACTTGTAAGGTGCATTGGATAGCATCTAGTCCTCGTGGAGCCGAAAGTAATTTAATGAGAAACGTAAGTGGTTAGGTTTACTCTTTTTTACACTTTCGTTTAAAAGATTTTAAAAGCGGTCATTAAGCTATATTGAGACATACTAAGTGTGGTAGTTAGATGTTCGTCATATTTAGATAATTCGTTAGGGTTAATTATCAGGGATTTAGTATACTTAGTCTAGGTTTCTGTTGAGCCGGCTTATACATAAAGTATGTGCCAGTATGCTTCAAATGGGTGCGAATGGAATAAAGCAGTTTTTCGTTTCATGGGTTGTGTCTTGTTCCTTTGTATCAATCAACCACCTATGCCTCCGGATAGGAACCTTGATATGTAAAAACCAAAAATGTGAAGGGCTTTCTAAAATCAACTTATGGTGTTATGCTGTGTTGTCGGGATTTATTCCTAAAGTGGTTGGGGACAGGTTGCTTGGACCACTTCAGATGATAGAAAGTTCCAAAATTTTGAGTTTTGTGGTGTGGTGGACACGTTCAAAGGATTTTTAGAAACGAAAATATTTCATTTGGCTAACTCTTACAACATGAGTACTGATCCAGTTATATCTTGCTGTTAACAGATTGATGATACAGGAGTGACTTCTTGAAACCATGCCGTTGAGGTACAATGAAGTTTGTCGATAATTAATCATGTGTTCACATCAAACACCAAAAGTCTAGAGGTGGAAACTCATACCAATGTAAATACGTACCGAGTTCTACGTTGTCACTTATTTACGAAATCTCGTTACATATTTAAAAAGACTGGTTGACTTTTGTCACTTATGGCGTAGACAGATGTCCATCTATCAGTCAATGTGTGTACTGTAGTCGCAGTCTACTTGCGTAGAGTTTGGTTATAAAAGCTACGGAAGGCCAAACCAAGACATAGTATTAGTCCTTAAAGTCAGTGTTTGATGTCCTAGGCCATCGGCGGATGCAGATTACTTGGTTGTTCGCCCGATAACCTTGATCGGTTGTTAGGGACTTTATGTACCATGGCTCGAGACCAGTCCCAATGGTGTGGATTCATCCATTCACAATCAACCTTCACTTCGATTTCGAATTCTAATATTCCTTTATACATACCTTCCTACCATCATTTCGAACTATATCTCAAATGTTTAGGAGTCCTCTATATTATAGCTGCTACACTATCTCAATATGTTTTGCAATTCATCTTGTTAATTTTACCTCATCCTGGCAACATAGTATGTAAACTTGAGCCAGCGCACATATTTGCTAGACTCTACGTTGATGATGATTAACTATCACTTACGACAGGTTTGAAAATCAGTTTATTTTCAATGATTTGGCGAATATTGTAAGGGCTGAATATGTTAGTCTATAATGGTCTAACACTAAGCGTTATGCTAATGTAAAAACCTCAGATCCAAATTGCAGCTGCTTTCATCAATCTTACCCAAAACCAAATTACTGTATATCTCATTCTCTTCATTTATAGGGTACGTTCTCAGCCAAAACTTTAATTTACTGACGGGTAGAATTAATGGGAGATTCAAAATAACCATTAGCGACCGAGATTTAGTAAGTATAATTTAACTTACCGAGCACAAGTTTATGTGCTCGGCGCTGGGCCACATAGTAAGGACTAGTGATACCACTCTGTTTCCAAGCCCGTTTTGTAAAACATGAGACATGATTGAAAGGCAGGTGCTTTAGCTAATTAACTGGCGCTACTCAGATTGCGGTTTTATGCTTTTGGGGTTAAGATTCATTGTCTGCATAACGCGTCTTGGTTATCTTATTCGACCATATCAGTCTTAAACAGCGTAAGATTTCATCCTTCATAGTATGGGGAAGGGAAACTAATGTGACTGACAAAACAGTTGGGTTAAGAATATCAAGAATGGTAAAAATAAGACAGTATAGAGTGGTAAAATAAAAAGTACGATATACTATTAAAGATAAAGATTTCTTAGTAGCGGTCACCATCTCCAAATTACTTTCCCCCGCATACGTGTGCTTTAAAGGCCTTGGTTAACTTATTTCCATCAGTATGTTATTGATAAATTCCAACCCCTTCATGGTATTTTCTGGGTAGATCGTTTTTGTTTTGTTTGTAAGATATCTGACCAGATTCCTTTTGTAGCGCACCGGCGTGAAACTATAGAAGTGTGTGTAGTGGCAAAGAAAGGAGCCCTTCGTATGCACGATTTTGCTTAACGAGCCCCTCAACCCGTCTACTTAGTGAAATGTCAAAGAAATTTAGTCTATTGTCAAGCTCGTTCGGGTTTAGAAATGAGCCAATAGCTATTCCATCAATTTGTCCATAATAATTATCGTTGAAGATAGAATGGACGCTCATCGTATACCTTAAGAGTAATTCCTTGAGTCTATCCTCACAAAAGCCAATGTCGACTTATTTTTTATATTTATGTACATATAAACTCGATTGTCTCGACTAACTGTACATTGGTGAGTAAAGATACAAAATCTAGTAAGATGATGTACTTTATACTTACATTCATGTCTTCCAGGCTGTAGATGAAATCCAAAACATCCTTGACGCTTCTTACGACTGATGTATACCATAAAGGAGTTGGGATTTATTAGTAACATACTGATGGAAATAAGCTACCCGAGTTCGCTGGTATAACGTTAAAATCCCAACCCGATTTACTTTTATTCATTAGAATAATTTCGTAATCATTTATGGGGAAATGACGTTCATATAAGTTAATAGCAATCAATATCTTACAGTTCTGGAGAATACTGGGTAGATTAGATTTAAACTGATGGCCAATTAGTTGTAAACCAAACTCTGGGAAGTGTGGTACTTTTACGTATAGTTGTAAGCGTATATACAATGTTGTTAGCTTCATTAATTTACTTACCATCTTTGGTGTTGAAAATCAACAAACCGTTTTCAAACAAATTGCGAAATAAAATTTAATGCTTTATTCATTCGGTGTAAGCTTATGATAATTTATGTTGCGTTACTGCTTCTGGACTACTGTGGTGGTTGTGATTTCATATTTATCAGAGTATATTTTATTCGTGTTTCCTCCCAGGTTTTTTCTTTGAATTTATTCTTGAAAAAGCCTTTTTACCAACCAACTTACGGAAAACTACTTCGAGTTGCTTGTAAACGGCGGATTCATGGATTCACTGATGGGCTTGAAAATATTATCGAAACAAAAGTTTCTGAAACTGATGTTAGTAAACGCATATCTGGTCAAGAGTTGACGTACAAAGGGAAAAATGAGCGTGTCATATTTTCAGCCAATCAAGTAATTCTTACTTTACACGGTTGTATTTTATCATTTATCCTCCAACAGTGCTCAAATAATTATCTATTTCTTAATTGTTTTTAAGTATTAGTGATTTTGGGATGTTCACGTTGGTTTAAACTATTATTAGTCGTTATGAGATCACTTGAATAGCTAGTTTTCTAAACCATTTGCCTTCATATCTATAGTCGCTCTTAAAACATTTTTATGATTGCATATGCTTATACAAAGTTATGTGATATCAAACAGTTGTATGCGTTGTTGAGTTCATTTTTCTTAGCTGAAAATGTAGTGGTCATAAATCCGTCCAATTACCAGGTGATCTAAAATTGCATTTGACTTTTAAGTTTAGTTGGCACTTAATAATAAGCTACGTTCTACCTCATACTTAATCATTATGGAATATTGTTGTGTTTTCATGGTATGCTGTCGTCATCAATTTTTTTACAGTGTTTATCTATTTAGTAAATCAAAATCCTAATCATGTTCAAATTCGTAGGTTTACTAGTTTATCTTGCCAGTGTTCATTCATAATGCCAAATCCATATTGTCATTTATTCCCAGTACTAGTAAATAAACTGCAAGATTTTTATGTTCTTATTGCTTTCGATTTCATATTTATTTGTGTCATACTTGTGTTTGCTGTATCACCAGCTTTTGTTAATGAAATTAGGTTAGTGTCAATCGCCCGGTCGAAGATAGGTGGATGGCTTCTCATTTTGGTGAAGGGGATTTTAGTTCTCTTACTCTCAGCGACCACAAACAATCGAACGATGAGAAATCGGTTTATGGTGGTACAATATTTACAGTTGTTGATGGGCATGGTGGACATGCTTGTGCTCATGCAGTCAATTTGCTACACAGTGATTACATAATTTCTGGTCTTCTACCTCCAAAAGTTTCTGAAGTTGCTTTACGAAATCTCCACCAAATTAAGGAGTTACGTACTCCGCGTTCAATTTGTGAGTTGGCGGTCACATTGTGGATGACTTCTGGTGCAGTGGTTACCGGGGAATCTGAACGTATCGAGTTCGGTTTGAAAGCGGATATAAATTCCAGATTTCCCAATCCTAATCTGACTTCTATGCATAGTCAGCCTAGTGTTAGCTGGGGGCCTTGGGGTCCCTGGGGCCCTCTACCGTTATCTGTTCGTGATGCACATACTGGACATATCAGTAAATTTCTTGAAGAATTACTGTCAACCTGTGATGAAAGGGGTAGGTCGCACAGTTTGGATGCTTAACTTACACAATTTGTTTTTTCAGCTTTTATATTTTTTTGGATTTATTTAGATTTCATGCGGATTATTTGAATAATAATTTATATAATTGATTAGTTCCATCACCTTCAATTCTCTTTTTGGTGGTAGAGAAGCAGTCCGTGATTGTTTTTGATATTTTTATGTAATTTTATTAATCATATCCGATAGCCTTTCAGTCTGGTTCAATATCCAATCCATTTGTACTGTTGTTTTACATTGGTAATTTACTATCGATATGTTGGTGTTAGTTGTGTAGCATCTTAAAACAAAAAAAAACATTTGTGTCAGGTTTTATGCTGTTTATGTTAATTTGTCTGAAGATTTTCGGGGTAGACCTTTCAACAAAATGATAGTTGTAAGGTTTGAGGGTCACAAAAGTAGGTTTGTTAACAAAACTTAACAGTATTTCTAACAGTCCAGGCTTCATGTATATTTTTATGTTTATGCTTTGTCACTGTTTAAATCTCTGATTAAAAACGTTTACAAGGTGTCGAATTAGTGCAGCAGTGTTCACACTACGGAAAACGGGGTATATATCAACATCCCTTCCCGCTTTTCTTAGGCTTTGAGGGTAATTGTTTTGTTTTTGTATTGCCGAACATTAGGTCATAGGGGTATATAAAATCTGATTTATTTGCATTAATTACATTAGTTCACTGAAGTTCCTATCAAAACATAGGATTCAACTTTAGTTTCATCTTGTATTTTTCATTCTCGGACCATCCATTTATTCATATCCATATGTTTGTAAACTTTTCATCGTAGCATGCATTTGCTTGACTAATTATTTTTTAATACTACATACTATTATCCATTTGTTAATACGAAAGAAATCATTGGGCCATTTAACTAGTACAATTACTGGATCTTTTTTAATTCCAAAGTGAGTATGTATATTTGCATCTCTTCATCGTCATATTCTGTGTACACTAATGTAGTACAAAAGACGTATCATGAGAATGTATTGCCTTTTAGACCGTATGCTTAGAGGTGCATGACCGCCTAAGGACCTTGAAACGAATGCGTTAATTAGTTCCATCCTCATCATGTTCCTCTAAGTAGCTTCTTGTTGATTGTTTTTTCTAACAGCTCTTTTTGCTTAGTGATTTACTGATTGATTCGCAGTCGATTAGCAGAATGGTTGACTAAATCAAAGTTTTTTTCTTACATGAGGGGTGAAGTAGTTTAGTCAGTTATAGATTGCCAGTTCGAACCTTCTTCCTCAACTGTGTTAACTGGGAGTTGAATAAGTTATCAAAGTCGATAATACCTTTAGAGTCAGACGGTAATCAGGGGTTTAAAATATAATTGAGCTTAGACTGTAGACAAGTCAAATTATCATCGTCGTTTAGGCGGTATATTCAGTATTTTATGCGTTTATTTTCGTAAGCTGTTTTTCAAAGCAAATCGTGATACATTTTATTAATGAATAATTAGCTTCGCGGAATTTTTATATATTTGAAGCGTTATGGTTTTCGTAATATTTTAAAAATTTTCACTTCAGAGTTTTTCTTCAGTGATAATAGTGAGGGTGATATGATTGATCCAGATGGGTTCATTACTGCTCCATTAAATGCGATTAAGGAAACTGTCATGAAATACTCCGAGCCTTCGTCTTCGTTAAGGCGATCAGAAGATCCCACTTTGTCCTCAGGTTTGTTAGCTAAGTTTAATCTTCATTCTTTTGATTCAGACTTCGATCAGTCTGTTGATGATTTGCGCAACTATGTAGCGGCTACTGCTTGGGCCCTGAGGAACGGTCTTCTTCGAATGGATCTGGATATGTCCTTGGCAGCATGCCCTACTTTCCATGGTCCTGTGTTAGACAAAGCTTTATTACGTGTTGTGTTTGCTGGCTGTGTAGCAACCTCGGTCTATATACCTCGACATCGAAAAGAAATTTTTGCTGCTCAGGTGAGTTAAAAGTTGCTATACTAAATTTTTAAGTATGTAGAGTTTTCTGACCCATAAAAGTCGTTTCCTTGGTACTGGGAGGGGGTCTTAATCATTGTAATTATATTTAAGGACATACTTTTGCTGCCGAAGATATATTTTGACAAATCTGGTGTTAGGAATTTTGGGTATATCCATTTGGTAACAAAAGAGATCTTGACTTTGTCTTACCAAAATAAGTGATCGGGTTTTTCCCTCAGTACATTAATTGTTCTGTAATTAATCTCTGGTTTTATGCATATATAAGACAAAATGTAGTCTGTTTTTTTTAATAAGTTTTACGGTGATATCACGCACTATAATATCCGTTTGCCAACTACTGAAAACTGAACGTAGTAACCCATTCAGAAAGAGTCTGGAAAAATTATATTACAAACTGTACTATAGCCAGACTTCATTAAATTTTTTGAAATCTTCACGGTAACAAGTAAAGCATCTAAATTTTTAAATTATTTTGTCGAATTTTTCATAAAGAAATAATATACCTATCAAATCGAGACAGATGATTAGAAGTTGTTCATCGCTGGGTTAGAAGACAAAAACTAACATCTTATTCTCTATGAATACATGACAAATTATTTAGCCTTCTGACCGCCACAAACGTGTTAATGACAGTAAGCTTTACTAGCTTTTTCTAGTTAACCATTTTGTGGCGGTTAATATTTCAGTTATTATTCTTAAAAAAATGTACATAGAAGACAGTTATTTTTTAATAACATAAACATAGAAATGTAATTTGTAGGATGTATGAGTCCTTTCCATTTTGTTGTGGTAATATGAGTATGATAGTAGGCGTCAAGTTTACATGTGTGGATAATCAGAAAAAATTAATATATCAATCGTTTTTCGTCTTTTAGTAATCTGTTTGCATCATTGATTTACACTTTATTTATTTAAACACATAAGCATTGGTACAAGGAGGCACCAAATAGATATGCACCACATAGATCATTCGATTTTTGTGAGGGCTGAGATACTGCTAGGATGTTCAGACCGAAGCAGGTGGTTTTCTTAGGGGGCCACACCCGGAGCCTTTAACCTAAAGGTCTGATCCACAAGGCAGTGGAGCAACGTCAGGAGATGCAGTTCCATGGTAGCCGGTGACTAACGACTGGTTCATACGCCATTTATTCCTTCAGGATACTAGAGCACATGTGTACCATTGGTTTGGAATCAGGGTTTTTCAACTCCCCTAGGTGGATCCTATATATCCACCACCCGGTTAAAGCGCCGGACATTCGCTTTTCGTCCTCTCAATTTCGTAAAAACACTCCCTCCATGAGAAGGCATTACACTTAGGAAATTCCGATTTCCATGGATGAAGCCCCCTCAACAACTGATCTGATTTATGTGCCGGATATGCATCTTTTGTTCTTTTGCTTTAATGGAAAACTCCAGTACGGGAAATAACTCTGGCTAAAATCATTAGTAATGGTCCTTATTAGAGCGTATTTATGGATAGAATATTTATTCGTACTAGATGCACAGAGGTTATCTTGTAGCACTCAGTATCTTATTTTGTAAGTAGAGAGACAACTTTAGTCAAGAAAGTTGTATGATATGTTCCTCTTTTACAGTGGATGCAAAATCTGCTACATCCCTCTATGATCTGACTTAAAAAATATGATTACAGAAAGTTTAGTTCTACATAACATTCCACACTACAATTTGTTTTGCAGCATTTACCCATTGTGAGACGTGGCAGTAACGTTGATCACTAAAAAAGAACCTTGTTTTTCAAAACGTTACAATATCGATCACCGATATTTTTGTGCAATCCTGCTATCAAGACAGCTTACTATTAGATGTGTTTATTTTAGAATTAGAAGAAAAACAATATTGTAAAATTATACTCTCAGGGATTCATGTAGAAATATTTAGTTTTTACTCTTCTGACAAAAATATACGTCTAACTTTCATTCACTGCACTAATAGGCCATTGTAAGTTTGTGTCATATCTACTTATCTACAGCGAACCGGTTATAATTGTCTGCTGTTTTTTTGCTGAATGCATTTATGTATTGGTTTTATGGTTAATGGAAATATGTTAGCCAAATATAGTTAGCAATTTACGATTCGTTATGAATCATTATGGACTGAAGTTTATTGTTAAGTCGTGTATTCTCGGATTATAATTAGACCATTTAGTTCAACATTTTCCAGGGTTTGTCTTTCTGACCATGATGATGATGTATCTCACTTACAAAGTAGTTTCGTGTACTCGGCTATGAAGTATGCTTTGAAGGTTAGCGATACTACTCGGCTGCCCAAACCGACGTGGATCGGGGTCCAAAGTTTCTATATAATATTTGAAAGGGGGACGGGTTTATTACCAAACCAGCGCAACACTCCTGACCATAGCTTTTTCTAGTTGTTGCATTTTTCTGTCCTATTGAGTTTGGTTATCTATACATTCTATTTACATTTGGTTGCTAACTCAACTTCAGAAAGCTTCCTGTAAGTTAATTTATGATAGATTTCTCTACCTCTTTTCTCATTTTTATTATTCAGAAATGAGAAAATCTACTGCATTTATCAAGCTGTTTAGAAAACCAAATAAATGAAACAATAACCAAAATATAATAAAGATCAAAAGTGGTCCAATAAGCTTTCTTATTAAGTTGAATTAGGTAACAGTCGGACAGTTGATAATGTAGAAATAAACATAAACATCGCAAGAGAATTTAATACTAATCTACTAAAATATTGTCAGCAGACCATTAAAAATAAGGCCGAATTAAGATAAGAAAAGGGTTTAAAAACTTGAATTTTTCTATACGTCACAGTGGATTAGTGGTTAAGGTACTCAGGGTTGAGAGTTGTGTAATATCACTAGTCTTCACAAGAGCGGTATGACTCAAAAATGAGTCAAAAGTGGTCCATTCGAACCACTCTAGTTTTATTTTTGCATTCAACCACTTTTAGGATATTCAAGTGACCTATACCAACTTTCCCATAGGTTTCTTTGTATTCACTGTAAGTGGGATCTATGTCTGTAATCTGTTCACTATCGTAAGTTTGCTTGAATCCTCGTTCTCCAATTTATTTTGGACTTTTACACCATCACGCTAACTAATGGTACTTGATGTGCTGATCAGATGATTTCATTACTCTCCCAATACAAAAAGTTTCACATCTACAGTTCAATTTATAAATTCCTAATTTGATATGATTAATCATTTTTGGTTATTGTAATGAACATATTGCCCAAATCTAGCGTCTGATGCAAATTTGAAGAGAATGTCTAGCGGTTCTGTCAAATTCTCCACAGAACATAACGTAATTCTCAGAAAACGCCACTTAATAATTTTTAGTGTTATTTCTACAACCGTTTATTATCCTGTGAAGCGTTATTACTTTGTTGTTAGTCATCTCAAATGTATGACCTTGAACATGTCAAAAAAATAAATGTTCAAAATATGAACTTTGATGATATATATATATAGTTTTAAAATCTTTATTTAACAATTCTATTGGTATGATGACTGTCTTCTTTTTTCTCATAGCTTAAGTGATTGATGTTCTACTGTGGGGAGAACGGTGTAATATGCGAGTTAATATAGCTTATCAGCTTTCACATATTTTAAAAGTAGTTAAAAGTTTTTGTTTTATCATATAGCTAAGCATAGAAATAGAGGTAGGTTTTTTTAGCGAAGCAAATTTTAGTCACATATTGTCAATTAGTATTAAAATAGTGGGTATATCCATGCGCAGTAATCACCTTGAAGTAGAAAAGATTAATTAATTTTTCTCACTTTCCTTTTCAATAAAAATCATATTGTTTTGTGTGTTTATGCATATTCATTGTACCATTTTTGATTTAGTTTACCTACTGGTTTAGTAAAGCGTTGGTTTTTATTTTTATTTTTAGTCATGTATAGCTCATTCGGTGCATTTAGGAGCCCTTAATGTAGTTACCAAATAATAAAAATGTTATCAAAGTTACATAGAGATACATTTCAGGAAATTTCCAGTCGTTCTGATATGTCCATGATTATAGTAAATGGACTTAACATCTCGTTTTCATCCACTTATTTCCAGCTCAGCTATAAACGCTAGATCAGGCTAGCTACTTTTGAGTCGACGGAACCTTGGAAAAGATTAATTTGGTGACTGCCTTTAAATCAACTGTAGCGCCAACTAACTGTATTAGATATACTAGTTGTTCAAATGATGGTACTTCCAGTTTGTTGAAGGGAATGCCATTAGATAAATGTAATCTTTGAATGAACTTTACTTAAGAATGTAATCTACACTACGTAAATTATGGTGCTCTGAAAGAAACTTGTTTAGTGTTCTGTTATCAGAAGTCATTTATCACAGGCGTTAAACTGAACGACACCTATTACTCATCCATCCTTTCAAAATTGAACAGATGCTACTACAATGTCATAGAGTATTTGTGTGGTTGGTATGTACCTCTCTAACCTTAGGTTTGTGAAACATGAATTTTCTATCTTTTATAGTTCATTACAACCTACTAGTTGTATGGTGAAATATTCGGTTTACATATACGGGTAATACTGAGCCACTTTGAAAATGTAGCTTGTGGTGTTTATTTCTTTGGTCGTCAGGTGCTTAATGGCATTTCGTCAGTCACTGATACTCCACGGCGTATGCTTAAGTCTGTTCAAGTTACCATATCCCATTAGCAGGGTGAGATGAGTTTGTCAGTGCAAACATTAAAGTATTAGAGGCAGTAACAGCATTAATGGTTTTAGGAAAGATTAGGTATCAAAGATAAGATTCATGAAGAAAGTGTGAATTAGTGGACTAGAAAAAAATTATGAGATAATTTAGAAAATCAGGATCTAAATAAGACAAACAGTAAATGTTTCTGTTCCATTGTGTACGTTGCTGAGCCATGTCACTTAAGTCTTTAACCATTAGTTAAGACAATCATCATGAGAACAACAACCAGGTAGTATACACCTCCCTACATGACTCAGTTCAACACTCGGCGTCCTAACAGACTAATCCCATGTCTTAGTTTGGGCACCCTTAACCATCTCCATGACTAACTCTCCTCACGTCTCTTTATCACCTCGCACCGCTAAGGCAAACGATTCGAGTACGCGGAACGCTATTCCTGGTCTCCTGAAACCACACTCTAAACTACACGTAGGAGCTTTTAACGTCCGAACACTGTGCCAAATAGGACAGCAGACTTCCTTAGCTAGGACTTTAGAATCTCGCGCCATCGATGTGTGCTGCGTCTCCGAAACGCGCATACAGGATCCGAGTAGCGTCATTCATTTGACCTCACCATGCCTAAATAAAGAACCGACTCGATTTACGCTTCGTGTATCTGGAAGCCCTGATTCTTCTTCCCGTGGCCTCGCCGGCGTAGGTATAGCATTGAGTCCCAGGGCAAAACTAGCTCTCTTAGAGTGGATCCCAGTAGACAGTCGTTTGTGCGCTGTCTGACTGAACGGAACAGTAAGGATCCGAAAAGATAGGGACACTCGTCGTTGCCTCTTCGTCGTCTCTGCCTATTCTCCCACTGACTGCAGCTCAGATAATGTAAAAGATGAGTTTTACAGAAAGCTCTCCGACCTTCTCCGAAAAGCTAAGCGCTCGGATGTAGTAATAATGGCCGGTGACTTTAATGCTCAAGTAGGTAAACTAAGCGATAGGGAAAGACACCTGGGTGGATCTTATAGCATCGTGGCTCAAAGAACAGATAATGGCGACCGTCTGTTGCAGCTATGTTCAGATAACCGTCTGTTCCTTGCAAATACTAACTTTAAGCATAAGGAAAAACATCTTTTAACATGGAGACCCCCTAATTTGTCCCAACGTTGGACCCAAATAGATCACATCGCTATCAGCCACCGATGGAGGGGCTCGATAGAAGACTGTCGCTCATTCTGGGGCACATGCTTAGATTCAGATCATGCTCTAGTACGAGCGCGTATCTGTCTGCGTCTTACTGGACGTAGGAAAGACGCTGCAAGTAAAGCTCTTAGGGCCCTACTTAATGATAATCAAGCTGAGAGTATATTTCAGGAACAACTATGAAAACAATTAGACAGCCATGTATGTGATGCCCACCCCGAGGCAGCATGGAATGATATCCGAAAAGCTGTGGAAACAGCAGTGATATCTGCCAGTAAGGTAAACCAGAAGGTTAGAGAGAAACACTGGATCTCAGCAGCATCTATCGCACTGATAGATGCTCGGAAACTCATTCCACCTGGCTCTGAACATAATGAAGAGCGGAGTCAGCTTAAGCGTAAGCTGACAAGAAGTCTACACAATGATCGTGAACAGTGGTGGGTAGCGAAAGCAAGAGAGATGGAAAAGGCAGCGGCAATAGGTAATAGCAGACAATTGTTCAGACTTATTAAGGAAACTGGCATTAGGAAGCCGACTGTTAGCGAAACAATCTCAGAGAAAGATGGACATATTATTCATTCTCAATCCAGGAGATTGGATCGATGGGCAGAACACTTGAGGGATCAGTTCAACTGGCCTTCAGCCACACTTCGGTTTCCCACGATCTCTAGTCAACCTGAATGGCAAGTTAATGTAGGTCCTCCGTCCCTTTACGAAGTTGAAAAAGCCATAGGAAATCTGAAACGAGGGAGAGCAGCAGGCCCTGACAGGTTTACTCCTGAGATTTTTAAGGATGGTGGTCCAGTATTAGCAATGAGATTAACCGAGGTCTTAGGTAGGATTTGGGAACTGGACGTAATCCCATCTGACTGGTCTCAATCACTGATTGTGCCAGTCTATAAGAAAGGACAAAAGTCCTCTTGTGACAATCAGAGAGGAATCAGTTTGACTAATATAGTGTCTAAAATATTAGCTTCAATAATACTTCGACGCCTAAATAAAGCTCGTGAAGAGCAGACTAGAGAAAACCAGGCTAGTTTTCGACCAGGAGGCGGTTGTATAGACCAGATATTCACACTACGTCAGGTCCTAGAACACAGACACACATTCAGACGCCCCACAATGGTAGTATTTCTCGACCTTAAGGCGGCATTCGACTCTGTTGATCGTGAGGTTCTATGGCAGTGTTTGTCACTGAAAGGAGTACCAAAGAAGTACATTAACCTTGTAAAGGCTCTCTATTTGCACACAACTGGTCGAGTGAGAGCTTACGGCGAACTGTCATCAGAATTGATTACCTCAAGTGGTGTTCGTCAGGGCTATCCACTCTTTCCATTCTTGTTTACCTTTTCCGTTGACGTGCTTCTAGAGATAACACTTTCCTCATCTAAATTTCCAGGTGTTGAACTTTTACCGGGAGGTTCACTTGTTGACTTAGAATATGCAGATGACATAGTTTTATTTGGTGAAGACGCTGACAAAATGCAGAGTCTTCTGACCACTCTAAGCAACAATGCAAGCATGTTCGGGATGCGATTCTCCCCCTCGAGATGCAAAATGTTGCTTCAGGATTGGGTTGCATCGACACCCGAACTAATGATAGGGAGTAAAGTAATTGAGCGTGTCGATCGCTTCACATATCTTGGAATTCTCATCAGCCCTTGTGGTCTGGTGTGTGACGAAATCTCAGCACGGATACAGAAGGCTCGACTAGCTTTTACGAACTTGCGTCATTTATGGCGTAGGCGAGATATCCGTCTATCAACCAAAGGACGTGTTTACTGCGCAGCAGTTCGTTCCGTCCTACTTTATGGCAGTAAAACATCGCCAGTAAGAGTAGAGAATATCCGTAGGTTACTAATATTTAATCATAGGTGTCTTCGAAATATTGCTTGTATATCCTGGGACCATCGAGTAAGTAATGCAGTTGTTAGGAAACGGGTACTAGGTAAGGATGGCAAATCAATTGATGAAGTAGTGAAACCTCATCAGTTGAGATGGCTGGGACATGTGTTACGTGTGCCCAACGACCGACTGCCTCGATGTGCGATGTTTTGTTGTATAGGAGTAGATTGGAAGAAAGCCAGGGGCGGCGAGACCAAAACATGGCCATGAAGTCACTGACAAGTGGACTGAGTCATGTTGGTAGATGTAGACTACCTGGTTGGGGACCGCGAGATGATAGCAACCGATGGTTAGAGACCCTGAATTACATGGCTCAAAATCGTTTGCAATGGCGCAGGTGCATCCACTCTTTGTGTTCTCCCAAATTCTAATCTCCTGAATTCTTCATGTCCGTTTCTTTTTTCTCTTCCCAAATTTATTTCACTGGATTATACTCTTTAAATAACATCTTCAAACCCTAATTTTTCTGATTACAGCTTATAATTTTACTACATCTAGCACTACGAGATTTGAATCGACCACTACATCTCTGTGCTAATGTGGTGTGGCAACTCGAACTGATGTATGTACGTACGAAGTTCTACGTTGTTACTGACTGACTGACTGACTGACTGACTGACTGACTGACTGACTGACTGACTGACTGACTGACTGACTGACTGACTGACTGACTGACTGACTGACTGACTGACTGACTGACTGACTGACTGACTGACTGACTGACTGACTGACTGACTGACTGACTGACTGACTGACTGACTGACTGACTGACTGACTGACTGACTGACTGACTGACTGACTGACTGACTGACTGACTGACTGACTGACTGACTGACTGACTGACTGACTGACTGACTGACTGACTGACTGACTGACTGACTGACTGACTGACTGACTGACTGACTGACCCTTAACCATCATCACACATAGAGTTAGTTGGGGGATTGGCGTATGTAATACATACCCTGCCCACCTTAGTTGATAAAGATCCAGCACTAATCTTCCAATGGTCCCAAAATATACGAGTAATGCTTCAAAGATATGATTGAATACTAGTAACATATCAGTATCCTCTACTCTTAATGGCTGTTTTACATTCATAAAGTAGAACGGCACCTAGTCTCATGAACACTATTTAAATATTGGATGATTATTAAAGCTAAACAGTAAACAAGTTGAACTGACTCCTCTAGTTATCACGAGAGAATTTTTGTTCTTTCTTATATACTGATGCAATCAACAATTGAGACAGGTCAAATGGGATTACGTTCAGTTCCTGAACTCTGGCTAATATCGCATTCAATAGTTAAAACTGGACCAACATCCTTAAAGATCTCAGAAGTTAATCAATAAGGGCCCTCACTGCTATCCCTCTCCTTGGGTTAACTATGGTTTTCTGTACTTGACTCAGCTGGGGGGCTGATTTTGACAACTCATTCAGGTTACTTGGTAAAGGTAGGCAACTGAAGGGTATCTGAGGTGCAATCAAATGTTTCTTTAGTGTTCCACCCATCGTTCGAGTATTCTGGGCTGGGAGTGAAACCTTGCCCCATCTTTCGTAGGAGAGCGGGAAATACTCTATAAAACATACTTTTCTTCATCGAAACTGCAGTCAGTGTGACCGTAAGCAGAGATAACGAAGAGGATACATCTTGTGTCCCTGTTTATTTGTGAGTTCTTATTGATAGCTCACAAGTGACTGTCTATTTGAACCCGGTCTGCAAGAGCTTGTTCTGCGTTTAAACCTAATATTATACACACACCAGAAAGGCCACAAAAATAAATTAAACCATCAGATACAAAAACCGGTAAGTCGCGCCCGTTCTCTATATTGACTAGGTGAGGTTAAGTGAATGACCGCACTTGGAGTTTCGGAGACACAGCACACATTGCTAACACGTGATTTTAGAGTAGTCCTACCTAAGGATGTTTGTTAGCTTATTTGACACAAAGTATAAACATCAAAAGCTCCGAGATGTAGTTTAGAGTACGGTCTCAGGAGATATGAGATAACATCCCGTAAAGTCAAACTGCTGATAATAGTGGTGTATGGGGGAATAAAAATGATGCCATAGGAGAAGGGTTGATAGTAGATGTAAGATAATTCTTGAGAAGCGAGAAAAGGATTTAATCGTAAAAAACACTTAGACGGTTTGTGGAAGTTTGATTTTGAGAGTCTCCTCCCTACCTTATAGTGTGGGGCTCCAACTTTATCGAACCCCCCTTACGTTTTTTTATCTGTATAGAATCTGATGTGTGGAATAAAGAAGGGCTTGGTTCTGAGCCAAATCACTTGTTTTATGGTTTTATGTTGCGAGTAATTTTTCTGTTTCTGTCTAAACTGTTAACAAACTTCTTCATTGCAGATAAGTACTGAAATGTCGACTTAATAACTTTTGAGCGATCTTTGTTAGGTTACTTGGTGAATAAATGTAACTAGCTTACCAAGTACAGGCTTATATACTAGGTCATACTGTTTACTTAGGGTTACTGATATTACAGGACTGTCCAAGCAGAATTACGTTATATTTTCAAAATTGAGACCCGTTATTTAGGATCCAAGTGGTTAAATCATTTAGGTGGTACTGCACTACTTTATCAACATTGCTATTTTCATAATTGGATGTTCAATATTCGTGGTATTTTTAAGTAAAGAAATATTCAATAAACCTACTATATATGCTATTTTAAATAATTAAATTTGACATACCAGGTAATTATAACAAGTATTAAGAATTGACATTTATTCATTTTGATGTAGGTAGGTGACTGTGGGGCTGTAATTGGAAGTTATTCACCTCCTTGTGAAGTTCCAGTTACAATTCCATCTTCGATAGACATCTACACTCAAACCTCTGGGGAATATACTAGAGAGCATTGGGAAGCCAAGCTATTGATTCCTCCTCATATATCTGAAAATGAAGCAGATGTTCGGAGAATTAAATCTAGTCATCCTGTCCATGAAGCTGAATTTATAATCCGAGATGATCGACTTCTTGGTAAGGATATTATTCTATTTATATTTCTGTTTCTTAATAATTATACATGATTTCATAATAGTGAACGTTTCCCACACAGTACATCGATCTGCTGAACAAGACGTTTCCTACCCATTATCAAAATATGAACAATTGTATGTTAAATAATGTTTAACTACTAATGGTATGGTTATTGATAATTTTATTAACTTGAATGAACAAAGCCTGACCGCTGCTGCTACCTTGACGTGGTGGTCGCGCTTGCCTATCGTGATGAGCTAGTCGCGCTATACTGGCCAGAACCATCGTTCCTCAAGGTCCCACCATGCCAGACAGGTAGGTTGAAGGGTGGCAAGACTAAAATCAGTAAGCCCAAGGTCTGAGGATGAAGTCGTACTGCTGGCTGTACTGGGGTGTGACGACAGCAAGGTGCTTGCTTCAGACGGCCAGCATAACAGCGATGCTGCCTTCCCACAAGGAGAGGTGGAGTTAGAAAAGGTCGATTCTAAAAATACACACCTCGCTTTATCCCACGGATTTCCGTCTCCTGTGGTAAGGTTCCAACAAGTACAGACTTACTTACTTACTTACTTACACCTGTTACTCCTAATGGAGCATAGTCCGCCGACCAGCATCCTGCAACCCACTCTGTCCCGGGCCTTCTCTCCTAGTTCCATCCAATTCTTGTTCATTTTCTCATGTCTATCTCCATTTCCCGGCGTAATGTGTTCTTTGGTCTTCCTCTTTTCCTTTGGCCTTGAGGATTCCATGTGAGAGCTTGTCTTGTGACGCAGTTGGGTTCTTTCCTCAATGTGTGTCCTATCCACTTCCAGCGCTTCTTCCTCCACTGGGATCTGGTTTGTTCTTTTCCACAGTTGGTCATTGCTAATAGTGTCCGGCCAACGGATCCGAAGTATTTTGCGTAGACAACTGTTCATAAAAACCTGTATCTTCTGGATGATGGCTTTCGTAGTTCTCCAGGTTTCCGCCCGATACATTAGAACTGTCTTGACATTTGTATTGAAAATCCTGACCTTGGTGTTGGTTGACAGTTGCTTTGAGTTCCAGATGTTCCTCAGTTGTAAATGTGCTGCTCTTACTTAGCTGATCCGCGCCTTCACATCTGCATCAGATCCACCGTGTTCATCAATGATGCTGCCCAAATATGTAAAGGTTTTTACATCTTCCAAATCTGCGTCAATTGTGATTGGATTGGTGCATTCTGTGTTGTATCGGAGAATCCTGCTTTTCCCTTTGTGTATATTGAGACCTACTGCTGCTGAGGCTGCTGCTGCACAGGTCGTCTTCTCTTGCATTTGTTGTTGCGTTTGGGGTAGAAGGGCCAGATCGTCTGCGAAGTCTAGATCGTCCAGCTGCATCCTAGAAGTCCACTGTATCCCGTGTTTCCCTTCAGATGTTGATGTCTTCATGATCCAGTCGATCACCAGGAGAAAGAGAAAGGGTGAGAGTAAGAAACCTTACCTGACACCGGTCTTCACTTCGAACGACTTTGTCAATTGTCCTCCATGCACCATTTTGCAGTGTAATCCATCGTAGGAATTCTGTATGATATTGACTATCTTCTGGGGCACGCCGTAGTGTCGAAGAAGTTTCCATAGTGTTGTTCTGTCCACGCTATCAAATGCTTTTTCGTAGTCAATGAAGTTGATTTAGAGTGATGAATTCCATTCAGTTGATTGTTCCACAATGATCCGTAGAGTTGCGATTTGGTCTGTACACGATCTATCCTTACGGAATCCTGCCTTCTTGTTTCTCCTTTCTTGAATCTTATCCAGTGTATCAACGGAGCTAATACGAAAATTACCCAAAAAGGTCGTGTGTGACTTGCCTCAAGCAGTTGCCCCTTGGGCACTGTGTTCATGCTGTCAGGTCAATAAGACCAACTCTAACCCAATTTCCTTTTCATGTACCACTATAAGAACACTTCCTCGGTGTGGGCAACCGGCAAGTGAAAGCCGCTCTCATACCTCTAACAGCACTCAAGACCACTGTATTCATAATGAATTTCCCTCTTCAATTCCTATTATTCTTCCCATCCCAACTTTCAACTATAAACTTCCTTTTTTGGCTTCTTCCCCAAGTGTCACCATGGCCAACGATTCTAGTGAGCGAAACACTACACATTGGAGCCTTCAACATACACACCCTATGCCAAATCGACCAGCAGGCCTCCTTGGCTAAAACCCTGGAATCTCGTACCGTTGATGTTTGCTGTGTCTCCAAAACACGCATACAGGATCTTAGTGTGGTCATTCACTCGACCGCACCTCACCAAGGCGGGGAGCCGACAAAACACACCCTCCGTTTATCTGGCGACCTGATGACTAGTTCTCGTGGACTGGCTGGTGTAGGCATAGCACTATGTACGAGGGCAGAACAAGAACGACAGTGAGCAGAGATGGGCGACGAAAGCGAAAGCTATAGAAAAGGCAGCCGCTGTAGGTAACACTAGACATGCTTTTCAGACTAGTAAAAGAAACTGATGCTAACACGTCAAGTGTAAGTGAGACGATCTCAGGAAAAGACGACACTTATCTGCTTTTAGCCCAGACGTCTGGAACGATGGGCGGGACACTTTAAGGAGCAGTTCAGCTGATCTTCAGCTACTCTACAGCTACCCACTATTCCCAAACAGTTTTAATGGAATACTGAAGCAGGCCCCCGACTCTAATTGAAGTTCTAAAAGCCATAGCTGATTTGAAACGTGAAAGAGCCTGGTCCTAAGTTGTAGCTGATTGACTGACTGACTGATTTGTGTCTCGATAATTCTGAAGTAACACGAAAGTCATGGACTAACCAAGTTTAGGTCTCCGCTACGATGGGTAACTTTAATGCGCTCACTAGTACTCTCAGTTCATGGAATTTACTTCAAAAACTACGAGCATTCGCTATCAAGACCTGACTACTTGGAAATTCAATAAGCGTGGATTTTCCTGATGCGAGACCTAATCGCCAAATTCACGATGGACAACAGCGGATATGAAGATATCATGGGACGACGTTGACTGTCTTTGAGAAAGGAACGAGAATGGTGAGAGATTCGCAAATTCATGTGTATTCAACAAGATGGTATAGAGCCAGTGAAATGTCACTAAGCCCTAGCCAAATCATCCAACAGTAGGGTCTTTGAATATCGAACCGATCATCGATCCTTGTCAAGGTCAAGGACGTCCAGCGCGCCTTAGTTAATCGTACTCCATGGACTGGCTCATGCGGCGGTAGACTTACTTTCGCTTGTATCTACTTTAACTAATATATTTCTGTAATGACGTCCTTTGTGTTGTACAGTCTTCAAAGCAGCTATAGTACTTTGATACGTCAATGGGGTAATCCACGTTAGGTGCTGACAGACGCATTCCAAGTGAGGATCGGAGTCAGTCAAGGCTGCTTACTCTCCCCCTTTCTCTTTCTTCTGGTGGTTGACTGGATTATGAAGACCTCTACATCTGAAGGGAAGCACGGAATACAATGGACAGCTTGCATGCAACTAGACGATATGGTCTTTTCAGATGACCTAGCTCTTCTATCCCACACACACACGAGCGAATGCATACCAATAGAACCAGTGTAGCAGTAGCCACTGCATCAGTAGTCCCCAACATACACAAGGTAAAAAGTAAGATCTCCAAATACAACACGGCGAAAACCAATCGAATTAGATTTGATGGAGAAACTCTGGAAGAGGTGAAAACATTCACGTACCTGAGAAGCATCATCGATGAACAAGGAGGATCTGATGCAGACTTAAAGGCAAGGAATGCTAAAGAAAGGACAGCTTTCGTATAGTTGGACAACATATGGGACACAAAACAACTGTCAACCAATATCAAAGTCACAATCTGCAATACGGACGCCAAGACAGTTCTATTGTACGGAACTGAAACTTGGAGAACTACCATAATCATAATCAAAAAGTACAAGTATTTATAGACAGCTGTTTACGCAAGATACTCAATATCCGTTGGTCGGATATGATTAACAACAGCCTATTTTGGGAGAGAACAAAGCAGGTCCCAACTGAGGAGAAGACTGGGAAATGTTTGCTCAGTTGAAGTTGGGTGGAGAATGCTGATGGGTGGCCTATGCTGCTCCACGAGGAGTGACTGGAGTACATGAGTAGGTATGGTGCATCCGTTTGTTAAACTCGACTCGTCAAAGATTTTGATTTCTAAAAATCAACCCCCACCCTCATCCGCTTTCCCCCTACACGGAGAAATTAAATGATCTAATTTGTAGCAATTTAACGGATTTTAAAACTTTCTGGTTGTATTCTAAATTCTTGGCAAGAGACCTTACGTAAAGCCTTGATAGTACCTACAAAAATGACACCTGCCTCAATTCTCATATATTTTGCTGCAGCTCATTCTTTCATATGATAATCTATTTCGACTGACTGATCACTTACGCAGTAAATATATGATTAACATGGTATAACGTACAACTCGTCAATTCTCATGTTGTTCACTATGGTTTTGCTATTAATAACCACTTTCTAATGCATTGAAACGTACTTAATTGTTCGTTTTATGAACATATTTTTCAACACATTGACACAAGTGAGGAACTCGTTGTAGTAAAAAAATATTGTGTCATGTGCGGCATTTTGATCTTGGTTGTAATCTGGCATACCTCGGACAAATTACTGTTGTTCGAGAATAAATTATCATTATCATAATAGGTTAACAAAACGACTATTATCTTAGTAGAGTTTCAGAATTGTGGAATGATAAAACTCCAAAATAGAAAACACCAAAGGGTATACAAATTACGGATTAAAGATGTCTGTGGTATGACAGTACAAACATTTATTCTCATATAGTAGCAGTTTAATGAGAGGCGCGTTAACTAAACAACATCAAGTGATTATGGGTAATTGAACAGGACATATTGTGACAAGATAAGAATTTTGGCCGGTACGCCTCAAGAAGTAAGAAAATTTTGTAACGAGAGAGAGAAGTCTAATAAGTAAATGTTGGCAAAAATAAATGTGAATAAATTGGCGGACCTTCTATAAAGCTGTTGGCAATAATTTGGCAACTCAAAACTGTGGATGATTCCCGGTTGTTGCATAAATAATCAAAAACAGCTTAAAACGGTACGAGTAAAATACATAGCTGTTGTTAGATTAAGTTATTTATAGGCAACTATCTACTCAAGATACTCAATATCCGTTGATCGGATGCCACTAATAATTTCGCACTATGAATTTCAATTTTATCTAGTTGACGTAAAATTGAAAAAACCGTACCACCCTACTTAAAGTAGTATAAGTAGTTTCTAACAACTTTCATTTTGTTTCATTTTTAGGTGAATTAATGCCTTTACGTGCATTTGGAGATATTCGTTTCAAATGGTCAACAGATGATTTAAAGAACATCGCACGCTTATTGGATCTCCCCCCTAATTATCCTATTTCTCCACGTTTTTATGCCAGTCCACCCTATTTAGTCGCTACACCTCAAGTTTTGTGGAAACCTCTTTCTCCACTTTGTGATCACTTCTTAATCTTGGGGACAGATGGCTTGTGGGATATGATTTCACCAGCAGAGGCTGTGCATGTGGTTGCTCGTCATTGGTATGATTATAAAGGTGTAAGTTTTTGTATATAATTTTGTGTTTTGTACAACAATATTGCGTTCATATAGAGAAAGTATTTGCGCTCATGCGTTTCACAGATTTGTGAGTTCATCTGTGAGGGGGGGGGTATAACATTAAGTTGTTTTATAAAGGATCAGAAGTTCATACTGTTTTTGAATTTAAAACATTTGTTAAAGTGCTGTGGTCCAGTGATTAACGGGTTCAACATTCAATCCCTTTACTGTTGGAGATTTTTCTTCTATTTAGATAATTGGGCAGTGTGTGTAGTCATCAACAAACAACATTAAAATCAATAACAACCTCATCGTTTAGCCAAAGTTGGTGGCGATTAGTAATTCAAGTCACTACAACGCTTTTGTTAGCATAAGAAGCGCGAATTTTCTGAAAATCGAGGTTACTCCCTGACGATCAGTATCAAAAGTTGGATTTTAATGTCTGGCATTATTCCTATAAATCGGGCTACAAGTTCCAGTACTTCATAATTGTTGTTTGCTTTAGATTTTTTATCATTTTGTTACTCTTCAATTAAGCATATGTTAATTTATACCGTATCTGTTTTATTTCAGAATCCATCTTGTGGTTCTGGGGATACTGCTGCTAGTCGTTTAATTCGAACTGCACTTGGTGGTACAGAAATGAATTCCGAACAAATAGCCTTACACTTTTCAATGCCAGCTTCTTTAGCTAGATATTATCGGGATGATATTACTGTTATAGTTGTTTACTTACCTACTGCTTTCTGCGATTCTTCGTAATGATTAATTATTACTTATGTGTAATTCAGATTAGTTGTTTCTATTTCAACTCTAGTTCTCATCTGCCTGTACTCTTGTTTACTCTCCTAAATATCTTGGGTATCATGTGCACAGAAATGAATTATTTCACACAAGCTAAAAATCTGTATGTTGACTAGTTTCTGGTGTTATTCAGCAATGTGATAAATACTTTCCTAGTTTCTTTATCCTCTGGCTTTATTAAATAATTTTTTTATGTGGTAGCTCTTGTAATCTAAAATAGTATTAGCTATCACCGATTAGTTAGCTGACCACTTATTAAAACTCGATGTATATTGAAACTGCATTTAAATCCTTTTATATATATTGTATTACATTATTAATTAATCTAAGTTATTACGATTATTTTGCTTTTAGTCACTTTCTTATAGTAAACTTTCGCTTTGTAACCCTAACTATACTTTTCTACTGAAATTTCCTATGTATCTCCGATAGAATGTTTATCATTATAATTATTGTTGTTTATAATTGTTCAAACTCAGTTAAATCACATTTCAATACTTAGTTACCTTAGTTTACTTTTCATTTTTAAAAATTTTATTTGATGCTTGTATATCTCAAGTTCGTTCATCATGAGATCACAAATGTGATTGTGGAACTTGGTATAATTGGGGAAAGAATTACTGTTAAAAAACTACTGTGATTATCATCCTACTGATTAGTATGCTACTGTCATCAACCAGGTCTCGTTAGTTCAACAATTTTATTTTAATCCGTTAAAATGTGGACATTAAAAGTGCAAATGGGTTGTTGTTTCTACTGTTATTATTAATAATGTATAATCAGATATGTTTTAGCTCATGTATGTGTTTTTACATTAATTTTTTGTTTTCAAATGTATCCAATTATTTTCTATCCAGTCTTATCATACCTTACCTTCCTGTACTTTTGATTCGTCCATGTTTGATATTTTTGAACAAGAGAGACCCGTATACATTGTATTCTTGACTTGTATATTTATTATTCGTTATCTCTTCCAGCTATCTGCTGATAAACTTATCATTATATACTGCCTTCCTTGCTGAGTTTGATGTCTCTCTCTTTTCGTGAAAAATATGAGGTTAAAAAAAGTAAGAAGAATTTGAGGAAAAGTAATCATGTATCGTATCACTTCTACCGATCATCAGGTATGAGTTCATGTGTTATAAATTGTTAATTTGTTTTTACTCAGTGGTTTTGGTATATTTGTGTAATAATGAATTATAAATCAGAACTGTCTCTGATTAAATATTGTTTGTATATAAAAAATCCAATATAAAATTCTTTACTAGCCATATTTTAAACGATTTTACTTGGCATCATTTTTTCTATCATATCCAAGAAGTTTTTTACGGGTTTCATCGTTTGGGAGCTTAAAAAGACACCGATAAGTCACGTTCGGTGTTTATAAGCGATTGATAGGAAACTCTGAATATAGTTTTCGTGCAAGTTGGAACCCATCCCCTGCGCCTATAGGCAGTTTTGAGGGAACTGATACTCCATGAGTTTTGAACCCATCAATGTCGAAGTCAGGAGTATTACCATTAATATATTCGTGAGGAAACTTCTGCTGTCTGATAATGGAATTACTGTGATTTATATGGAACCGAATATACTACATGTTAGAAGCTTGGCGTTAATTTTAGATACAATTAACTGGACATCAATCCAAAAGTTTCTCGTATCTAGTGTCTATTTCTCTCTATATATGAGTCCATGTATAAAAGATTATTATCCTCATCGTGTTAAGGCTCGATACCTTTATTTCGTACATTTGCACGAAAAAAACTAGGGGAATTCTACCGATCTAGATTTTGTCGTAGTCGTTATGATTTAAGAATAAGATTTAAGATAGTTATATCATTATAATAAAAGTGACGTCATGATTTCGTCTTCAAATGTTATGCGATTCATAATCTTATGGAATCATATCGATGATAACAATTTTGTTTATTTTCATGGGTATTTAAGTAATTTGAGGAATCCATTTATTTGCAAGAAGTAAACTATCATCATCAACCTAGCTCAGAAATAGTAAGGAATCCTAGTATGAATTTTTCTTCAAGGTCACTTACACTTCGATATTCCACTTGATTAACAACAGCAAGATTTTAAGGTATCGAAACAGGTGATGTGAATAGAATATTTCAGTTTCATGAAAGACTCACAAGTCGAATTATTAGACTTGTTTCAGTTGGGTTTGAATGTCAGGTACAAAACTAGTGAAGATGATAACAGCAAAAGTAAATAGCTTGAGACAGCCACATTTGTTGCGCATCTGAAGTAACATACGTTAGTGTTACTTTCTAGATTATTCTCATATTGAATTTATCATCAAACTCATCTAAACCCTAGAGGATCATTACTACCAACTTGTTCGTCTCAATTAGACAACGAGTTACACTTAATGAACTATTGGTTCCCTAAAATCATTCGAGGTCAGACGTACTGATATACCTAATTTTCTAGAATAGTCGCTCACGTGTATTCAGGTGTTATGTCTTACTCTACTTCATCATGGTATGTTTTGAAGCATCTCCCCAAAAAACTAATACAATTTTTTTCTACATTTACGTGTTGTCTCCTTTTAAATCAGATCAAAATAGTAAACGTCAAGGGTGATGAACTCTGCTTTCTCAATCATTTATTATATAGGAGCAAGCATGTTTCATAATTTTCATATGGCAAAGCTTTATGTGTATACTGGGATTATTGAAGGCCACTGGACAGTTTGTTAGCATTGTACTGGAAGACATTACAAAATAAAGCGTGATTAGCTTGTATTTGATGATTATGGGATTTTGTGGCGCTGGCTTTTTTTCATTAGTGAACCTCTGTGAATCGAACAAAACGGGACTAATTATTGATAACAAGCGTTTCTTAACTGTTTAGAAAGGATGTTTTCGTCGAAAAATTTCCACAGTAATAACACATGTATAAACTGTTATGGGAGATAACAACATAACATGCTAATCTACTTTGGCTTGGATTCCTCAATGGATTTAGTCCCTGTCTTTGATAAACTTAGTCTGTCATCGAATTATATGCAACTTGGGGATAGTGACATCAGTAACGCGAAAAATTAATGGAAGGAAATTGCCTACAAACGGAAAGGAAAGAAAATCAGTATAACATGTGATGCTCAGTGAAATAATGTTTTAGTCTAAATTGTCCTGATATCGCCTTCATTTTTTACAGATAAGGAGGGATTTTTCAAAGTAGAACATATGTTATTGATGACAACTATAACTTATTTTGTACAAATGTGTTTATAGAGAATAAATACGGAGCTTTTGAAAGTAGTTTATCATCACCCACATAGTCCGTCGTGTGATTTAAGGTTGGATCAGATATTTTATAAAGCTTACATTGAAAGTGTTACGATGGTTCATTACAGAGTTATAGAAGACAGCATAAACGAATTGCGTCTAACCGTTGGGGTAGCAGAATGACTATAATAGAATAAATAGATAGTAATCTCAATGTTTGCTTAAAAGATGTAGGAGTTAGGCTATCTTTATCAACGAATAGTAGAACATTTATGAAGAACATATTAGTTTGTAAGTTTAGAAGGGATTAATAAAACAAATATACATACTTTAATGGTAAGTGAAATCCTGCGAACCACAGAAAGTTTACGCGAAGTTACATTTTGAGGTAAAAAGAAAATTTCGAATAAATCAACAATATTTTTAAGTTCGTGGTTACTTAATCTCTGGGAATGGAAGTAGCAGCCTATAGAGTTATACAAGAGGTTAGTTAATTTGCTTTATTCAACCTGCATAGTCGAACCTAATTAAAATTTGTATGCTCAACTACAGGATAACACATCCATAGCTTTAATTTACTATCACAGTTGTGACGATAAAGAAATTCTGTTATTCAGTAAAGCATAACTAAGATGTAGTTGACGGTTATGTTACCGCCACCAAAATGCTTGCTTGTGAACCTTGTACATATTTTTGAGCAATCGAGTACGCTCAGTATTACTGATTTCCATGTTTTTGAATAGTGTATTATAAAACATCTGATTAAGGAACAATGTTTTGCAGACTGGGTGACGTCATATTTTAATTTTCGACTACATAAGGGAATGTATTATTTTGTAATTAACATTCCATCTCAAGAATGCTCCGGCTAAAGAGTTTTTGAGAACTAGTAGTTAGTGAGCACTGTTCATCTTAGTTTGGGACCATTCATTAATATCCGATGACTATTTTGCAGAGTCAGATTAAAGACACATTGACCTTGCCATATGCTTCATCCAATTTACTGGTAAAATGTTTTCTAGTCAAATTTCTGTAGACCACTAAAATCTATCAAATTCCCGATTTTTTGTTGCATATCTTTGAATCTGAAATTTATTCGAGTATCAAGAAACAAGTGACCTAGTTGTGTAATTCTACTGAGAAAGTGAACTGCATGTTAATAGTATGGTATCAGCCTAAAAAATACCATCGCTATACGAAAAGTCTCAGTTTTCGAATATTAAACATGGCGAATGTTTACAGAACATTTTAAATAAGTAGATTGTTGGCTGAAAGAATGTGTTAGTAATGTTGTGTTTCAATTGTCTTTATTAACACTCACTTATATAACTAAGAGTACTTAGATTGTTTTTAGAATTACAAAAACTTATTGAAAAACATTAAATTTAGGAACATCATCCTTGATCATTTCATTACCTGACTATACTTATATAAGCACGAGAAGGTAGTTTTCACACTTCGTTTCATAGATTCTCATCTGCAATAACCACCTCGAAATAGTGTTATTTATTTCCCCATAAGCAATAAGAATGGTACTTAATTCATTATTTACAACTATGGATTATTTATTTATTTATTTGAACACATAAATATTGGTACAAGAGGGCACCAAATATATATGTGCCACACAAAACAATGAGAGTTCGGAGAGAAAAAAAGAACAATAAAGAACAGATTAGTGTAAGGTAGTGTAATAATAATAATAGTAATAAT